TTAAGAGGGTTGCATTTTAATTCTTTCCATCTTGCTTTTCATGGTTCATCTCAGTGCCAGGGATTGCTTTGCAATTTGATCCTATTGGATATAGATTTATTCTTGATCTGGTTAGAGCACTCCTATTCACTGTAGCATCTATAGTGCTAGAGGTAGGAAGTCAGTCCCCTGTATTAGAGACCTGCCAAGCAGGTTGCTATCTTTGTGGAAGAGGCTTACTCCCAAAGGATTTCTGTGCTCTGCCAGTGCTGCTCTCACACAGGGTCACAGTGTCGCTGCTTTGTGTGGAATTCTCTGACGTGAATAAACGTGGCAATGCCCTGCACGGGTCTTAGAGCAAATTACAGCCTTGGCGCTGCTAAGGCTCTGCTCTTCCTCAGAACATGGAAGTGGATTTCTCACTGTGGTGTTCCTGACACCACAAAATCTTTGACTTCTGTCAGAAATAAGCCTGTAAAACAGGCAGGTAGTTAGTGCACTGAAACCCTGTCGTTAATGAAGGAAGCCAAAAAATGCCATATAGTCTCAATCACTGTGCTGAGCATTGCAGCTGATGAAAATAGAAGGTTTTGGATTGGTTGGTTTGTTTTTACATCAAGTGTTCTGTAATTTTAGGTGCTCTGTCTCAAAGCAGTGTAAAATATGTGAATACTGTTTAAATCTGACTTATGGATTCAGATTTGAACTGTTGGTTTTATGAGAGGAGACCTGTCTTTTGGTTGTGGTTTGCTTTTTTTTTTTTTTTAATCAAGGTCTCTCCTGCTTCTAGCCTGGGATTTGTGCAAATTTGGGGTTCTTCAATTATGTAGTGTTATGAGTTGTGATGCTGAAATTATGCTTGATATTTAAATTTTTTTTTTATATGAAGTCTTACTACCTGAAAGAATGGGGAGTGGGGAGCAAGACCAAATTAAAATGCACAGTTATAAGAAAGAGCTTAATAGATTTGCTTTTGAGTGTTGGATATAGCTGGAGGTAAACTGCATTTGTTAGATGCTTGAATTTTTCCTTCTTCAGCACAAGAAATATCCTTAGTGATTACTTTTAGTTTCAGATAGTATTTACTGTGTACATGATGTTAGTGATGGAATACTGTTGATATTTATCGTGTGGTAATATTTGGAGTCAAACAACAGGTTGGACTGCGGCAGCATGTCTTTGAAATAAATTTAGATAGACACTATTGTGTTGGGTTCATGGTCTCTTGCAACCCACACTTTGGAGTTTATTTTAATCATAAAGAATGAAGCCTTTCAAGTGATACCTGGGGTAGAGTGGGCACTTTCTTCACAATATGGCTCATAATAATTAATTACTGAAAAATTGCTTGGTTTTACTTTTTAACTCTACTACTGTGTTCTCATTTATATGAATTTAAATATGAGCACAACAAAAAGCAGAATTTGGGAACTAAATAGAAGTAAATTTTCGTAGACCATATTAGGCATTTAACAGAACATAAGTAGGAAGTGAAACATCAGCATATGAAAGTAGTGAAGAAAACAGACTACACGGAAGAGATCACAAGAAACAGAAATCATGAGTAGTCCTACTAATAATGTTTCAAGTAACTAACTAATTGTAATAAGATCTTTGCAGAGCCAGGATGCAGACTCACTGTTTTATTTCTCTGTTTAAAGTGCAGGTAAATATTTATTCATTTAGTAACTTTTGGGTGGAACCAGTAGGGGTTTTTTGTGTTTTTACATCTATGACACACTAGCGAGTAGAGAATGCATCAACAATAAGGGCTGTGTTCAGTTGTCCCTGAATTCTGGGGAAATGCTGAGTCAGTGAGACCTGAGCACTGGGAGTCTTTCAGAATTTAGGACAACTGGAGAGAAATCATGGAGAAGGACTTCATAAACTTGAGAATGCCTGAAAATGACCTTGAGCTCATTAAATGAATGTAAAATTTCTGTATGAAAAATGATGGCGTGTGGGTAATGTGTTCTGTGTTAAGCCCAATAATTTTCTAGATTCAGAGGTATGCTTCAGAACAAAAGTGTGGGGCATAGTTGTGATAGAGAACCAAAGAACCAGTCCTTCACTGATATCCCACAGGTACAGGAATTGCTGTGCAATTAATGCCCTCCTCCCCAAGACTTCTGTTTTCAAATACTGCTTTAGAGGTAATGGGAATCCATGCAGAATCAAATATCTTATTGCTGCTTGCAACCTATTTTAGTGTTTGGACAGCTGAGTTCCAGTAGTGTGACTGCTGAGGGTGTGTGGTGATTGCAGAGCGCTGGGTTGGCACTTCATGGACTCTGCAAACATCCCTGTAGATGTCACAAGGGCTTGTGCAGGGTGGTGAATTTGTTTGCACCTGCCTAAACTGCTCTTCAGTGGTTAGGTTGGCTCAGCTTCCAGCCTTTGAGCTTCACCCTGTGTGTCTGTGCGTGTAGGTATGGATTTCTTGGAAGAGGAGCACGGCTTCTAATTCTTCACTTCTGTAAGCCAGATGTAGTGAACCAGATTTAGAAAAGCTGCAGCACTGGCCTTGAGATGCAAGTGATCTGTGGGCCCTGGGAGGAGTTACATCTTCACATGGATGAGTTTGTTCAGTCTGAACTATTCGTTTCTTTGTCATCAGCTTTGGAGCTACTGAACCAGTTGGGTAATCACTTGTGCCCCACGCTGGATCGGAACTGGAAATGAGCTGGAAAGGGTTGCTCACTTGACTCCGTGTTTGTGCAGCAATATAAAGCAAATCTAAGCACTTGTTTGTGAGTCATCTGAAATCATAACAACACTGCTGTTTTTATAAAATGGTCACGTGCAGCCTAGAACTTTGTGCTTTTTGAACTGCAGAGTACCCTCAGACCCAGTACATTTTCCAGCCCAGAACCTCTCCTAGGATTTTTCCTTATTCTGCAGTTGTCATTAGAAGTTATGAGCACTGGCAGTCAGCCCTCTCTGATGCTGAGGGCATTTGCAGGATCTCCCACTAGCAGAGACCTTGCCAGTCTTGATCTCAGCACACTGCTCTCAGATGAAAGGATGACTGGCTGCCTGGCAGAATGTGAGAGGAAAATTTGTCATCTACTAGTCTTTTTGTTAAGCTTCATTAACAGCTCTGTGTTCCCCTTCTGCTTTGCCCAGAGGTATTTTTTTTTGAAGCTGGCAGAGCAGGAGAAGAACAGTTGAATCATCCTGGGAAAATAAAAATAAATTATTTTTGTTTAGGTTTTTCTTTGTTGATCCTAAATCATGCAGATGATTCCTTGCCATCTGGAAGTATCTGTTCTTTACTCCTTTAGTTTAAGGTCCTTCATTTTCCAGTGCCAGTAAGAGCCCACAGTCTTTTGCTTTTGTGTTAACTATTATAAAGACAAAAGATTGTCATTTGCCTCACAACTTCACTCATATTGAGTTCTAAGCTACAGTTAGTAGGAGGGTTACTGGGTTACTTAACCCTGAGCACCATCATAACTGTGAAAGGGAGACACACCCCACCCTCCCAAATAAATTCAAGTGTCAGTAGCTGGCACCGTGTTAGAATCACAGAATGAATTAGAGTTAATCGGAAAAGACCTCTGAGATCATCAAGTCCAACTCATGACTGAACATTGCCATGTCAGCCAGAGCAGGGCACTGAGTGCCATGTCCAGCCTTTCCTGAAACACCTCCAGCGATGGGGACTCCACCACTGCCCTGGGCAGCTTGTTCCAGTGTCTGATCACCCTTTGTGTGAAGAAATTCCTCCTAATGTCCAACCTAAACCTACCCTGGTGCAGCCTGAGGCTAAAAGCAGTATTTTCAAAACAAAGAGTTGGTGAAAAATTTGCAAGGTGTTTTTGGTGTTGCATTGCAGTTTAAACTGAAAGGAACTCAGCAGAACGTGTAACCAAGTGTCATGGCTGGGCTTCGTGAACGAAGATTTGGGGAGGGCTCTACCCACGTTTGTTACAGGCACGCTGGTGGCTAAAAAGGCCAATACGAGACAGGCACGTCTGGTTGCAAAAGGCACAGCAGAAAGACTCCTTGGGTGGTAAATTCTGCAAGACACGATTCTTTCTGCATTGTCTCTTCTCCTCAAGGATGATCCTGCTGCGTTCTCAAAGGAAACAGCAGCGTTATAGATGGTGTGTCTCCAGACCTCCCGATTTGGAGGCCAGAATAGGCCAGTTATGGTGATCAATATGGCCAAGGCTGAGATGTTGTTTCAGGGAGTCCTTGTATCTTCTCTTCGGGGCTCCTCTCTTGCAGCAGCCGTTGGCAAGTTCCCCATAAAGCAGGATCTTAGGGAGGGGGTGGTTGGTCCTTCATCCTGGAGACGTGCCCTGCCCAGCTCAGCTGTGTTCTCAGCAACATGGCCTCAAGGCTTGTGACTGCTGCTTGTTCTAGAACAGATGGATTGGTCTGTTAGCATTAGTCTAATACATAACCAAGTAAAAAAGAAAGATTTATTGTAAAGCATATTAGTATGTGATTGTGTGAGTATAAATCTGTTTTAAACAAGCCTGTTGGACACTGAAGGGGATTTCAGAGGGGAGCCATGGCTTTGTGAGGCTGGCTCTCTGGGAAGAGGGAACAGGGCTTCCTTACAGGGTGATTCACAGGAGTTGAGTACTGAGCTCCTGCTCTGAATTGCCCACTGGATAAGTATAATTATGATACTGAGTTCTTCTTAATGAAGATATGTAATTGAATTTAGGTTCAAATCATGTTTCTAACTGTTACCTACCTACCTTACTTAAAAAATAACACTGACCCATATGTTTAGCTATTCAAGAAAATGCTTTGTGATCTCCATTTTGTCCATCTTCAGGAATAAGGAAGGCTGTAAACTGGTTTTTAGTTCTCTTGTTTTGAACTCTTTTGGCTTACAACTTGTTCTGCAATTTCTGTCTCTACCTTGTTTGTTTCTGTGGCTATTCTTGTGTGATGAGAGCTTGTAGCTCTATGCCTGTTTTCTTTTAGTTAAAAGATTTTGTACAAGATAGGTGGGTCTCACATTTCAGAGAAGCTTGACTTTTTTTTTTTTTTATTTAAAGGATATTATGGTTTTTTGACCAACCACCAACACCTGTGAAAGCAGAACACAAAGAAGAATGCTGCTGTGTGTGTAACAGTATGCTGTCCATGGTCAGTAAGATATTTTGTCTCTTGATATTACTGCAGAAATAAGTGCCACCTTTAAAAGGTCAAAACTGGTCTGAGCTGTTGAAGAGACTTTGGGCACTGCATGATTAGGATGGTTGTTATGTACAGTCCTACTGTTTGTATCAGTCTGAACATAACACTATGTAATACATAAGGAATGGTTTTTTTTCAGACCTAGGCTTTAACTCACATTTTTGAATATGCACTCAGATATACAGGAGGTGGAAGCTGGAGGTTGCTGTGATTTAGCCAGATGTGCACTGCTGCACGTTTGTCTTTTCCTCGCTGTTTTAATTGCTGGACTTGGGTTGTAATGGCTTAATTACTGATCGTGAATGTTCTTGAAGAATTTTGTGCCTATGGTTGACGGTTAAGATTTAAGGAAACTGAGCTGATTTATATTTTTCAGTATTTTTTAATTTGAAGACGTTTGGTGTATTTACTGATGGTTAATCTTTTTCTTGTCTCAGACTTGGTGAAATGGTGAGGTTTTTCATTGCCAGTTGGATGCTATAGCAACTAATTTAGCTTGACACTCACTTGTCCAGTCTTCAGTGCTCTTGAGAGCATGAAATGCTCGACAGCTTTGAGGCAGCCAGAGGTGTGAACCAAAAGCCATGAAATACCCTAATTGTGCCCTTCTCTGTGTATCACTTTCCTAAACATCTGCTAGTGCTCTCCTGATGTCCTCCTCAGTGCATTCTTCCAGAGCCAGAGATACTCAAGAAACTGCTATGTCATGTCATTCAACCCACTCGGAGTTCCTTATCCTAAAGAAACCCGGAGTATTCCCTCCAACAAATGATTCCTTGTGTGCTCTGGCAGAATTCACAGAGCAACCTGTCTGATGGGTCTAGAAATTGTTATAGGGTAGAAGACCATAGGGCCACAATTAGCCTACTAATTTCTATGTAGTATCTTACATTGCTTAATTTTTTTTCCCCTTTTCCCCCCTTTTTCCCTGTCTTTGTGAGTGGCCTATTTCCTTGGCTTGTAATTGTTTCTCTTTTAACATTAGATGCCACATGGGAGTTTTAGGCAAAAGTTTCTTGTACATTTTCCCCTTTCTTTACTTGTGGTACAATTTGTTTTTGGTCTTGCATTCATAAGTGTTTCTGTGGACATAGAGAAGCATAGAGGGTAGGTGGAGAACTGTAGTTTCATTGCCACCACACAATTTGACCATGCCTGAATTACTTCATAAGATTGTTAATGTTTTAGAGAAAAACAGTTCCAATTTACATAAAACCAGTATCTGTATAATAAGGGTGTATCTAGAAGTATCTGTATAATAAAGGTGTAACTAGAGGATTCACAAAAATTATTATTTTGCAAAATACGGTTTCTCATGCTGAAGTTGCAAGCTGAAGTAGAATAGGATTTCTTGGTGGGTACTGTCAGTAGAAGTGATATGGGTGTGGACCCAAGGGCAAGTGCCCGAGGTGATTTTGTGTTGTGTTTTTGACTGAGCTCGCAGTCAACAGACCCATGAAGGAGGCCCTGTTGGTAATGGCCAGGTGACAGTTCTATTTTTACCACATTCCCCAGAGAGATGCAATGGAGAATAGATACATGCTCATTAGAGTCCAGTTTGTGTTCACCACTTGAGGCAGTTGCCTCCAGTCTTTCTGACTTTTACACTCTTCCCAGAGATCATGCTGGCACATTTCTGTTGTGGTGCGAGTCCTCACTGGCTGTTTATGGCCAGCAGAGTTTGTACCTTGGTCTGTTGACTGATACAGTCACCAGTCTTTGAAAAATTCTCCACTCAGTTGTTTGAAGGTAGAATTTGAAAGTAGAGGTGTTCCCAGCATATGAAAGGCTGACCTGTGAGAGACTGGCCCTGGTGTGATCTGCAGTCCACTGATACCACCTCTCTTAACCCCTGTCCTGCTGGTCTGAAAAGTAAGGAAGGTTGGTTAGCAAGGAAAATAAAGCTGCACAGCCATCCTCTAATGAAGGATTTGTTTCTTGTGCTTGAATACAGTAGTGGGCAATTTCTCTGCATATATTAGGAATTTTTTAATATCTGGAGGGCCGGGTGTTCCCTTACAGTTGGCTCTAGAGGACCAGCAGGAAGCCTGTTGTCAGTGCAATGTCTGACCTGCAGTGGAGGTACAAAGTGCTGTGAGGAGAAACAGGATTGGGAGCTGTAAGGAGGTGAGCAGAAATCTAGCAAGAGACTAAGGAGAACACAGGAACTGGGACAGGAGCTGTTACGATGTACTGTTTTGTTAAATGTGTATGATTTATGGACCTTTAGATATTTTCTGGTCTCCCACTGTCTGATTTGTCATCAGGTGTTAGCCAGAGACCTCTAGAAAGTTGGGATGTCCAATTTAGTTAAAATAGTGTCCTACTTCTGCCACAGGCTGTGGTACTTCAGTCCTACACTGTGTCTGTCCCCTGTTTGAGGGGCCACAGATCATGCAAGATTGCTTCCTCAGATGAAAGTTGTGCAAGTAATGGCTCCTAGCTATAGCTGATGCATTTCACACCCCTCCCAAACTCCTGCCTGTTGACCAGGAGCTTTTGATTCTGATTTTTCTGATTCCACAAACACAAATATTGACATGGCTGTAAAATCTGAATTCCAGGCTGGTACTTCACTGTACCTTTGCCCTTGCAATTTCCAAATCACCTAGGACTGCCTTCGTTTTCCTCTAGCCTTTCTTTTTGCCTGTTGCCCGCTGCAGGCTCCTAGACTTTAACCATGAGAAGTTTGTGAACTAGTTCGTACCTTGGTAAACAAATCAAATACCTCAACTTTGTGTGTGGATTGGCTTCTTGCATATGGGGTGAATGAACCTATTTCAGAACAACACCTTTATGCACCATAAGGTTGTTTTCAAAAGGTTATGTGTGGAGCAGCAACTTAATTTTTTCCAGACTTAAGCAGGTGGGGCAGCAACTATTTTTTCCCTCAAAGCCACTGAAGAATCCGAGTTGCCTCAGAGTGCTCTACACGCCAATTCCTGGGGGAGTTCTGCTCTGTGTGGGCCAGGGGCACTGACAGCCCTCACTCCTGGTCACTGTGCTGAGTTCTTACAAGCACAGGGGCCTACTCAGTATGCTTTAGAAAAATAATTGTTTATGGGAAGAGGAGCGTAGCTACGTGCCTTGTGCTTTGTGGCTTGGCCTGCAAACCTGTAGATAATATCAGTGCAAACTGATAATACTGCTTGGTGCTCAAGAGATTTGAAACAGTTTTAATGAAGGCAAGTCTCTTGGCTTTTTTTTTAGCTACACTAAGTATCTGTTGGTCTGATCCAAATTGAGTGTGCAAAAATTTAAAAATATTTATGGTAGCTAAATATGTTTTTGACTAATTCATTATTACAATACCTATATTATTAGAATAAATGATGTATTCTAATTATTAGTTCCTTTCCTTTTTTTTCTTTCTGTTAGCAGAGGGTTTGCAGATTTGACATTCATTTAATTGTTAGATTGTGTAACGGAACTGTGGTGCTGAAGTATTTGAAGACATTGAAAATGTGTGATAAATTAGGTATTTCTGCATAAAAAGTTGATGGAGTGTATAAACCAACTATAAATTGTTGATTTTCTCATTTGGTCATTTACATTATGTCATGTTTTGCTTTTTTAGGTCACATTTAGGTCATCTTGTGGAACCTTAGAAAGAAACAAGGGTAATAGTAAGAAAATGATGTTTAATAGAAGTATCTTCGCTACACAGTCAGACTGAAACAGGAAAAGTTCTTTGGAGTGAGTATTACAGGGTTTTTGGTGGGGGGAGGTTGTTTAGTTGTTGTTGGTTTGTTTTTGTTTTTTTTTCTTCCCCTATAAAGTCAGTATGTTTATTAGGCTATTATTGTATTTAATTTTGTTATAGTTGTATTAAAAAATAAATCAGTGACTCCATACTAATTTCAGTTGATCAGCTGGTAATGGACTCTTATGGATTCCTATTGAAGCAACTTCCATCTTAGAATCAGTTGTACCTTGTGAAATTTAGATGGGCTTCAGATGTTTCTCTTGGCTGATGTGTATTCTGGCTATGGTTTTGAGCAGGGAGTGGTCTAGGTTAGATGTAATTACATATAAACCCTTATTTGCTGGCAAAAGTCAAAGCCCTGCTTTTATCTTCCAGGGGATTTGAAAATACAATTTTTTTTTGTCTGTAACTCTTTACTCCTCACACTTTCTGACTGACTTTGGTATTGTTGTTGTCAGTATTTTAATATTCGTCCTGTACTGCAGTTCCATCATCCATCAAAATTGCATGAGTCTTCAATTTATGGATCTCAGATACATCTTTTCTTCACAGTTTCTAGTTAACTTGTAGATTTTGTGAATTCTAGGCTGAGACATGTGTCTCATTTATAATAAAAGAAGCTTTGCTACCTAACACAGGGACTGGGGATTGCACCTTTTACTACTAGATACCCAAACATTTATATACTGATACAGTACAACTCTTCATTTCTGTCTGCTTCACATGCTTGAGATGGGAAAAGGAATCATTTTTCTGTCAATTTGTTTGCATCAGATTGTAAAATCTTTAAAAATATTCTTGTAGAGGTTGGCAGCTGGGGGAAAAACTGCATATATCTGATGCAGATTTTACTCATGCTGTGTGATTATGTGAATGTGATTCTGCTGGAGTAACTGGAAATACACCTGAATGCATAGTTGGGAATTAAAGATACCTGGCCACTAGAACTGAAAGGAGGTGAAAAATTGTTTTAGTTCAGAAGACGTGTATTTTGGCATATTGCTTTATTACTAAGAGGAAATGACTCCTCTGAGCTTCTTCTTTAAAAACGGATGTGTACATGGTGTCATAATTAGGGTAGAAAAATATCTGTGAAACCTACATTAACCTACTCAGATAAGCTAAACTTTTCATACTGAGTGTTTTTTCCAGGTTGTTTTTAACTGGCAGAATAACACATTTGGGTTGATAACTTTTCCTGCCTTAAAAAAAAACCCCTATACAATTCAATTAAACGTGAATTTAAAGAAGTTGATGTGTGTTACTTCCCTTTCTGTAAGTACTTGAAACAAATGCTACAGTTTTTAGTCAGCACACTTATATTTGCCACAGTCCCTGATCTAGGCCATGTGTCAAGTGGCTGGTAAAGACATTCATGAAAGGTTCTTGCAGTTCCTGATATTTGAATTCTGACCTCTGAAGTTTTCAGGAATTGTGTTGTATGGAGTTATTTTAATTTTACTGACTAACTAGACAACACAGTAGAAATACAGGCACTGTCACAATATCTAAATAGAATAATACCTATTTGCTGCCCAAACACTTAGTTTGACAAGTTAATTCTTGGCTCTGGTAATCAAGTCACCAAAACAGATGGGCAATAAAGTTGAAACTGAGCTCTCCAATCAAATGAAATGAAGAATGTCCACTGAAGACACCTTTAGTAATTTTAAATCACTGTATTCAGGCTTATGCCAGGCACAGAACTTGCTCAGGTGTTTAGTTGCCAGTAAACTTGGGTTTCCTGCCCTCCCCTTTATTTTTATTTTTTTTTAAGAGACTGAGAATTCAGATGTTAGAACCTAAAACTGATTCTAATTTGTCCTTGTCGGGGAAATGTTTTGGAATTCCTTGTGTTTGTTTTGAGTTGGACACTTGGATTTCCTTCAGTGCTTGTTCAGCACTGAACAGTCCTGTTCGTAACACAAATGGTTGTGAATCTCTGTGGTGCAGGATGTTGAAGCTGGTGTTGGAAGAAAACTAACTGCAAAAATCCAGACCAGATTATCTAAGAAACCAACCCAGTCAGGAACAATGTCTAGTGATGAAGCATGTAAAATGCTTTTTTAGTTTTTTTTTTTTTTCCTTTAAAGGGCATCTTTCTGTCTTTTAGGATCCATGGCATCTCTGAGACTTAAGCACAGTCTGCTTATTTGGTTGTTCTGTGTTTCGGTCTGTGTGACCCCCTTGTAGGAGAAGATTTTACTCCTCATTAATTTTCCACAGGTTTTAATTATTTCACTGTTTTACTTCTCTTTCCAGATATGTACAATCAGTCTGCTGAAGAATAAGTGTCTTTCCTAGAGGTTTTGATTGAAATATCAGAAATAATTGAAAAGCGAATCTTTTAGTCCCTGTGTGAAGAGGTGTCTATATATAGGAAATCCTCAATTTCTGGTTTTAACTATTTTTATAGTAGGAAGTAACATAGCTCATAATTTAGAGATGTAACATTTTAATAGCTGAAGGAAAAGGTTAGGGAGTCACCTGTGAGATTTGATGGTCTAGGTCCATTTGTACAATTCAAAAGGAGAGGCAATATTAACCATTTATATTTTTAAATGGCTTATAAGTGGAATGTTTCCTTTGTGTTTACAGTGGAACAAGAAATTACTATGAGTGGTAGAACAGGCAAGGAAATACTGGAGAGCAGAACTAATACTGGTTTAATATTTCCTTGTTTTGTTGTTAGACTATGAAGAGTCCTCATACAGTTCTTGGTTAGCAATGGGGGGACAGGGACCCTACAGTTTACTTAGTACAGTAAATCAGTAGAGGCACAAACCCAGATGATTAATGCACCTTTTCAGAATCATAGTGGAGACATTATAAAGTTGTTTGAATAATAGCTTGGGCTGCTAAAAAGCCAGGCCTTTAGGCTGTAGTTTTGCCTACATTTTTTAAAATGAGCTTAAGAGCTGTAAAGTGGCAAACCAGCCCTGAGGCTGGAAGAAACCATCACTACCACTCCTGGTGCTCCTGTTTGCACATTCCCTTTGCTGGCACAAGCAGTTATGCAGCTTTGTAGGAAACTGTCTGACTCACCTGTGTTAAAATGACATCTTTATTCTGGGTTACAGTTCAGCTCTTTCTCCTCCTTTCCCATTCAGTCCTTTTTGTTCCCCTGTGCCACCTCCATTCATCTCTTCTGATAAGATTGATTTTTGTTTGTTTGTTTAAAATATCCATGTAACTGTTCCATCATTTAAATGTTCAGTGTAGCAGTAGAACTCAACATACCCTAACATTTCATTCTAATCTTCCTCTAGTACTGAAAGTATCTACAATGATCTGCAGTATCAAAAATGAGTTCTCTGGGTTGTGAACTATCCAGGTCTAATCTTTCCCCAAATCTTTGGTCTCAGCTCACTGTCCTGCAGTGTGCTATACAGAATGCACTGGTGCTCATAGCAGGGCCTGCTCTGCCTGCTGCTCTTTAAAACCTTCCAAAATACCTGAGAGCTGATGAGAAAATTCCCTAAAGCTGAATCTACCAGATATGTTCTCCCAGCCCAATTGACATAGAAAACTGAACTATTTGCCTGGGCTTTTTGTTTCATTTGAGTTTTTCTCCTTCTTATCTCCCCGTCTTTGTTGGTTAAGGTGTCAAATGAACTGTTACTCATATGACAGTGCTTTTCTAATCCACTGTTTTCTTCCATTTCTTTTTATTCCCTCCCATCTTGACCATGCAGAACTGCATTCCAGTGAACTGAAAGATGTTTTCTCACAGTGGCCCCAGCTTCAGCATGATCCAGAGATTAAATGCTTCTGAAGACAATTTCAGACAGTAACACTGAAGTGTGAAAGGAGTTTTTTTTTCTCACTGCAACTCACTTTAATTGCACAAAGATGGCCTGAAACTCCTTATTTTTATATCTAATTTTAATGTATCTATATGGTGATTTCAAGGTAGAGCAGAGAATGGTTGTGAATTAGCTGTGAGAAGCTGTTATGTTATTGTTGTGGTTTTGTTATTATGAGTTATGTGCTGCCAGTGAATTGTCAGAAGTCTATCAGAAGCCTGGGACTTAAGTTCTATTCACTTGTTTAGTTCATCATGAATATTCTTTGGAGGAAGCAGAAAATGAGTTTACTTGCCTGAGTATAAAGTAATGAGAAGTAAGAGTGTCCTTTTATCCTCATTGTTCAAACCAGTTCTGATGAATCTTCAGTCTGGCATACCATTTTTAATAGTCTTGTTCTCTACCTGTAGACTTCTTTTCCAGGAAAAAAAATTCTGAAGACAATAATCTCATGTGTAGCTAGTTTTAAAACTATGCTTCCATTGAATCATAGAATCATTTCCATGAGAAAGGCTGACTAGAGGTAGTCTAATCAAACCATCTGTTCAAATCAAGTTGCTTAAAATTTGATTAAATTTTAATTTGAAACCATTTAACATGTCTGCATTTTTTTTTTTTGTATCTCTGAGTCCTGCATAAGGCAATTGCAAATTCAGGTACTCAGCATTTCTTGAAAACTAGGCCACTTTTATTTAGAGGCATTAATATCTGAGTAGAAGCTTCATTCATTGTGGCTTTAAAATCTTGACTTCAGTGCCTAATGGGCACAGCAGAGGAGTAAAGCTACAGGAGATGAACAGACAAAATAATCAGGGATCCTGGAAAAAAAAACCCCTTATTAAATTCTTCTTGTTTGTGACTAATTTGCTATATTTCATGAGGAGGATCAAGTTCAAATTCTCTCATAGCTGAGAGACCACTCTTGGTACCAGTCTGAGCACTGTGAGGGAATGAGGCCTTTAAATAAGGCCTTTCGTGTTTTCTATACATAGATATTTTTAGAAAACTAAATGGTGATATTTTTATTCTGATTTTTGGAGGAATCCTGACTAAACGGACACTTAATTTTCCATTCCATGGGGCCAGCTCATGTGGTAGTTTAACTAAACTGCTGGGAAATATTTGTAGTACCACGTGATCTTTAAAAATAACTTCCCAGGCTACTTCGTAGATGTCTTGAATTC